AGAGCACGTGCGGCCGTACGCCGTCCCGGCAGCTCCCTGGAGGAGGTGAAACGGTGCCTCTCACTCACTCAAAAGTCACCCTGACCTTCCCCACCCAGAAACCACAGAGCCCAGCATTCACCATGGACTGAAGGCAGCGCCAAACTGCCCCCGGGCACCACCCCATCCCCTCCTGGCATCCCACCCACCCGTGCCGAAGCCCCCAGGGAAAGGAGCCCCAGGAACACGTGGTTTTACTCTGAATAATGGTGTTTTCTTTCCTCTCTCCTGGCAGAGACTCTATCAGTAGTTTATCATCACTTCCACCAGGTTTCATACACAACCATATCATCCATCTTCATTTTCTCCTCTACACGGCAATTCCAACAGAGTGCCATTAATTTTGTTTTTATTAACTCGCTTTACTTCAGGGGGTTTCTATATATAATGTTAGTTTAACAGTAAGAAGAAAAAGAAACAGCAGAACACGGGAGTATTTCTAAAAGAATCGTTTTGATAACCTGCTAGCGTATGAACCACCATCCCAAATGGAAAGATAATATCCCTGTTAATCAAAAAACTATTTAAAAACTCAATTAACAGAACATTATGCTCTATAATTAATCTTCATTGCATTTCAATGATTCTCCCCCCAAATGAGTTTAGTAAGTCTTTGAATTTTATTACAATGATCAATAGAGTCAATTCTATAATACAAAGTAAGTTGGTTATGGAATATAATTAGACCCCTCCTTTTCCCCTGAAGTAATTAAGTCACATCCATCTTAAGGTTCCATTCATCCCAAGTAATATTCTTGGATCCTCCTGATATTTATCTGAACATAACATGGAGCTGCTGGGCTGAACGCAGCTGCAAACTGAGACAAACCAGCTGCAGTTTCTCCTTTAAAAAAAAAAAAAGTTCCCAAGATCCCAAAAAAATAATAAAAAAAAAGTTGACAGCAGGGGCAAAAGACTCCCTCCCTCGCAGGGAACACACGCTGTGAAATAAGGACAAAGCTTCGTGCGAGGGAACCAGGCTCTGCCAGACAGCTCCGGCCAGGTTCCCGCTCCCCGACACCGCGTCACCCTGCAGGGACTCGACTTGTTTAACCGGTGCTTTTCCCAAAAAACACCACAGAGCAGGTCCCGCCTGGCTGCGGGGCAGCAGCACCGGTGCGTGCCCAGCCGCTCCGGCTGCCCGCGGCCACGGCACGTACCGTTGGTGGAGAGCAGGAAATAGGCTGCGTTTTGCTGCGGGAGCCATCGGATCTTATTGATCTTCTCCTCTATCTCCAAACTCTTCAGGTAATCGAACTCTGGCTCGTGGCTCTGGAAGGTGCTGTAGACATTGTACTCTCCTCTGCGATGGGGCTGGTTTTTGCTCTGCGGGGGGAACGGAGGGGTCTGAGGCACCGAGCGCCAGCTCCTGCCGGGCGCCGAAACCCGCCCCAGAGGAGCTGCTGGCACCACGGCACCCACGGGGCGAGCAGCGTTCACCCCACGGGCACGCGAATAAAGCAAGAACGGAGCACCCACAACCCGGACACAGCCTCCGCAGGAACCGACGCTGTGCGCCGCGGCTCAGGCTCAGAGGGAACCGTGTATGTGCCAGTCCCAGGTGGTGAACCACCCAGCGCCAGCTCGGAACGGCGCTGAGGGAACCAAAGGAAAACTACCGCGGAGATGAACGTCCTGCTCGCAACGATGCGTTTGGGCCGGTGAAGCCCCTCTTGTCCCTGGAGCACAGTCCTGCTGCAGAGCAGGAGCTGAACGGAATACACCCCACGTGATGCTGGGAAGCTTAAAGTTGAAGGAAAGCAGTAGGATAATACAGTGAGAGAGAAATGAGAACTGAAATACTGCTGGAAAGGTTGACGAAGTGCCTATGAGTGCAACCTTTAACCGGCCGGTTCTCTCCAGCGTATATAGAAATAATTCTGAGGTTGTAACTTTGAGAAAAATGTAAAACCATCACTGCACTGTGACATTTTTCATGGCTGAGCCCGACTCATCCCTTCCCCCGTCAGCAAACACCCGCAGGGGAGGTCAGCTCCCGCCGGCTCGGGCCGTGCGATGCCATGTGCGTGGTGCCAGAGCAGCTCACCGGGACGGCTTTGGGAACAGCGGAATCTCCCGCGCGGCGGGGCCCACGCAGCTGCCCCAGCCGGAGCGGCTGCGC